TTGTGTCATCAGCATAGATACAGTATTGAGAACTGATGATGCCAGGAAAGTCATTGATGAAAATTAGGAACACTATAGATCCAAGGATAGAGCCTTGGGGGACACCTGCACTAATGCAAAAAGATCTAGAAGAGTGGCTGTTCAAGACAACTTTCATTTTGTGATTTGATAAGATTGAATCAGATCAAAAATTTGTCCAGAAATACCATAACCTTTCAACTTGCGAAGAAGACCAGCATGCCAAACCCTTCAAATGTCTTCAAGATATCTAAAGTAACAGCCCGAGCTTCACCATTCTTACCTAAGACTTGATAAACTCTTTCAGCAATAACCATTAATACATCAGCAGTTGATCTAGAGAAGTGAAAAGCCATATTGCTTATCTGAAAGAAGACCTCATGAGCTGAGATGCTTAACAAATTCAGAGTTTTTATGTTTAAAAATAATTATTTTTAACCTTATATAACACAAGTTTGGAAAACATAGGCTTTTATGTATGTACCTCCACAGATTCATGATACCTATGGTTTAAAATGAGTTTTTAAAAATGAAAAATCCTGAACCTTTTATTTTAGTTTTAAGCTAATAAATTAAATTTAATTTTTCCAATAAGCAAAATATTATACTGTATTTTGAAACTAATTAAAATTGATTGGAAGTTGTTTTAATTTTGAAATTTCTAAAATTTTTGAATTTAGCACTATTTTTAACAAACCATTATAAAAATGTAATTCTCTTTATTAAAAAATCTGCAAAAAGTAAAATGTATTCTTCTAAAACCCTATTTGAGGAATATTAGATGATTTAAAGTATAATTAATTTCATTTGAAGCACATCATTTACTTTCAGCTTAAAATATCACAGAAATTCATATTGTTAACAGACAGGTTGTTGACAGTGTGAGGACAGATTTTTATTTAGGGAGTTAATTGTTAAAAAATAATTGAAGAATCTAACATGTGCCACTTAAGTATTCAGTAATCTTGAAAATATTCTCCATAATCTAATATTTATTGGATTTTAAGAGAATTTTTTTTTTTTTAAATTTACTATAGTCATTGCTCTTATTTTCTGATATTGTCATGTATGGGTGATCATATCTACAAAAATGAGCATGTTTACACACATACAAAAACAATTTAAAATTCTTTTTAAAAATAACCAGGGCTGTCAGATTGTAATATGCTTTATGATATATGATTAGTAAATATAGTTTTACTTAACCATTACACCATTGAAATTGAATTTTAAAAGATTTAAATTTTTTATAAATTATTCTAATTAAAATTGTAAAAAATTAAAATAAGTTTTGTAAAAATTCATTTTTCATTGAAAAATTTTTTTAAGACAATATTGTCCATAATATATATTATTCATGAAAGCAATTAAAAGCTTTTCTAATGAAAAAATATCTTAGTTTTATTTTTTTTTATTCTACAATTCAGAGTAGATTTTCGGTAACACAGTGTCTGATTTTACAAAAAAAAAAAAAAAAAAAAATTGATTTAAATTCTCCAAAGAGTTCTGCTTTTAACTAATATAATCACACCTTTGAACTTTGAGTTTTTATAAAATTAAGTGGGTTGAAATACATATAAAAAAATATTTTTAAATCAAGATTTTCTAAAAAGTAAAATTTGTAGAACAATTTCATTCATTTGTAAATAAGTCCTGAAAGTTTCATTAAAATCAGACGATTTTTGTAAGAATTATGTGTCTTTCACCACAAAAAATGCTAAAATTTGCTATGCTAATTTATAGTCCATCCACTGATGCAAAAACAAGACTTTTTAATTAAAATTTCAATTGTTCTAAAAAGCATTAAAAAAAAAAAAAAAAAAAAAAAAACTTTGAGCCTTCCTTTTAATAATAACAAAGATTTTGATGATAAAACTTTGTTTTCATCAAGTTTGGAGAATTTTTTCATCATGCTAATTTTTTTTAGCAATTTTGTGGAGGTACCTACCTTTATGAAATGTAATAGAATTAATATTTTTATATTTATAATTTTCAAAGAAGGTAATTCAAAAAATTCAAAATTGTTGAATTATTTCATCTTCCATAAAAGATAATGTAACAGTTGTAAAATGAAAAAATAAAATTCTTTTAAAATTATTTATGAAGTGAAAATGGCATTAAATGTTATATTTGTCAAATCTTTGAGCAGCTTTATTTAATAAAAAGACAATATTATCAGCAACAGAAAGAATTTAAAAATTTCATAAAGATTTTTTTTTTGAAATAACATCTTCAGGCTTTTTTCTTTATAAAACTATAGAAAATATGTTATCACCTACTAGCAATTTTACAAGTGTGCACAATGTATTAAATACAAAAAAAATATTCACAAGGTTTTCTCATAAAGTAACCTATTCAGTATGCAATTCATTAATAAATGCTGAAAATTTAATTTAAACTGGATAATATCCTGATTTTTGGTAATTTTTTTAAAAGCAGAAGCTAGTGTCTCTCTACTTTCATTTTGAAATATATATATTTTGCATGCACATATGTAAATCAGTGGGATTTATGTGTAAGCCATATAAAACCTTAAGTAGGTCTATAGAATATAGTTATAGACTTGATTAAGTAGAAAACGTCATTGTCTTTAAAAAAAACTGATTGTGGATTTATTTACATAAAAATTAAAGATTATCTTGCAGATGCATAGTCAGCACCTAAACAAGCACCATGCTCATTTGGGCACGTGTGCGTGTGTGTGTGTGTGTGTGTGTGTGTGTGTGTGTGTGTTTTTAAATATATAAAAGTTTGAATATATTAAGATGAAAAAATGTTATACCTTAACAATACAAATTCACAAATTTCATTTGAGACCAAAGTTCTTTACAGATAATTATTACAAGATTATTGAGAGAAAGAGGGAAAGAAAGTAAATATCAGTATATATCAATATAGCAGTGTTTGTGGACAATGAAATTGTGTGTTTTGTAATGACTTTTAAGTAAAACAAAAATATCTGAGCAAACTCATAATACAAATTTCTACCTGCATGCAACTGGAAAGAAAAATTCCAATATGGTACATTTAGTACTTTTCATTGGTATATCCAAATATATATATCTATGAAGCTCAGAAAAAGAGGTACAACTCCGCAAGTGCACTGAGTGTAACTAAAGTGTGTATAATGAAGACAACAAACGCCAACTGCAATCAACAAGTTTTGGTCACTTTGAATTAATGATGAATGCTTACTGATAGAATCAAGATTTTTCTATTGTGAGAGTTTGATTTTGTTGTTTTTTTACTAATAACACCAAAATGAAGAGTACCATGTTTGCATGGTCATAAATTCTTGTCATCACTTCTGCGAGCATTTTCTAGTATACATATATAGAACAATAATTTACAGTGTAAGTAAACTTTTGATACATAACCAAATAAAGTATGCATATATATATATATATATATATATATTATATATATAAATTAACTAATTAAGAAAGAGACAACCTTAAGGTTCCATGACTATAATTTATTTTCCCATAAAATATATTTTTCCTGGTTCATCAGGTCACATCTCTAGTTACCTTTTGTCATGGAACCTTAAGGTTGTCCCTTTCTTAATTATTTAATTAATATTTGCTCTATTGTTACATTGAGCTCTCTGGATTACATCCTCTTTGTAACTATCCACACAGATTACCAAACCCTTCATTACCTTACTATATATAAGACTAAGTGTGTGTTTTTGTTTTCCATGTCAACAATATGTGAAATTTCTCAGAATATATGAGTGCTGACTTCAATGTTCACTTTTATATTTACATACACTCTATCTTTGATATTGAGCACTTTATCCCATAAATATAGTACACCTTAAAAACTATATATATATATATATATATATATATATATATATATATATATATATATATATATATTACATACACACACACACACGAGAGTGGGAGGGAAATTCTTCCCCACAAAATTTGTAAATATGGGACTAGTTAAGATTTAATGGGGAAATAGAATTATGGTATTTTTGTATGAAAGTGTAAATGCAAATTTTGGTGAAAAGAAAAAAAAAATTATAGAATGAATTGATCAGTGACTCAAACTAGTTAAGCTTAAAAATAGGACAATGATGACCATCCTGTACTCCCCCTACTTATGTCCTGCATTTACTAGTAACAAAAAAACATGAGAGAATAACAAAGAAGTAAATAATATTTGTCTTTCATAAGAAATGGCTTGACAACAATGTGACATGTTGTCTATTTAAGAGGTAGAAAAATATAAAAACATTTAGTACTTCAGTGTCAACAACTTATGCCTCATGCAAGTGTAAGCAAAGAGGAAATCATCTCAAAGCTCAATTTTTCCATTTGACATTTTATTTTTACAATGCTAGTTTTCTATGACAAGAGAACAATTTTAAAGATAAAAATTAAATTGATCTCTAGATGGTTCATTTATTACAGTATTTTTAAATGTTAACATATTACTTACTTACTAAAACTGATTATTTTTCAATTACTTTAATTTTCTCATAATGACTGTTTCAATCTATTTGCTAACTATTCATAAATGCTAAAATAAACACATGTGAAATTAATTTAATGTTATTGCTAAGCATAACACATTAGGTTCTGAATATCTATATTTTGTTTGTTGTTTCATCAAACAATTTTAAAGTTCATCCACACATGAAATCCTCAATAAGTTGTTCTTTAAGTTACATTCACACCAAGATTTTATCTTCACTAAACAAAAATTTAATTGTAATAATATTTTACAAAAAATTTTTTTTTTTATACAACTTAAAGATCCAATGAAATTAAGTATTTCTTAAATTCACAGTTGAGAGGGTTTTAACTCTTAAATATGGATGAGAAACGGGTTTATTTTTATTATTTTTATTTTATGTATTATTTTTTTTTTAACGTTTGGTTGATAGCGTGAAAAATGAAATTCTAACGACAGTCTGAGAGGAAGGAATCCATATGGCAACAAAAACAAGGTTAAAATAAATTTAGTCAATCGTGAATGAATAAAGAAAAAACAATGATAAAGCAGATGGAGAGGGCAAAAATAATGGGGGTATCTTGGAGAGCTGAAAAAAAATAAATAAATAAAAAGAGGAGAGATAAAGAAGAGAAGTAGGAGGTTAGGATGATCAGCTGTGATGGACCAAACCTTGTGTAATCACAACAATGGCTACCTACGCAGTTTTACACTTTATTAAAGCAAAAAAAGAGGGGGAAATAAATAAAGATCTAAATGGCAAACTGGAAATAATAGTGAATTTTAAAGTGTAATAACAGTAAAATATATAAAATGATAAATTTTAAAGTAACAAAAATCCCATTAACTGGGCAAATTTTAAAAATATCCATCCTCATAAGAAAAAAGCAGAGTAGAAAATAGGTAAATTTTAAAAATGAGTCAAATATAAAATCTTTGATAAATTGGGTCTTCTTACATTGTTTCACTATTTTTTTACAATCATCAAATGACAAAATAATCTTTAAATGAAGTAAAAAAAAAAAAAAAAAAAAAAAAAAATCATCAGATGGGATATGCATATAAAATAAAAAAGAATTATAAAATTGTTTTTTACTTTTGTTTTTGTAGGTAGCTGTTTTTAAAATTTGTTTTACTTTTAATAAATGAGTGGCATTTATTTTTACTCGAACTCTAAGAAAGATAATCGGGTAAGAAAGATTTTTAAATTTTACTTACTGAATAACATATTTTAACAAGCTTATGTGCGCGTAACACACTTTTATTTACTTATCTACCTACGTTTTAATTTTGATATAATACGCGACACTAAATCTCTATAATTTAATTGTTTTTCTTAAACATATGAAGACTAAGCATCAAGCTACAATGAAACCTCAAACAGTTGAGGTCTTTACATTTTTTCTAACATCAAAAAGAAAAAAAAAAAAAAAGAGAAAAACTAAACGCGTTTTCTAGTTTTTAAGCAGCACTAACTTATTCAATTCTAAACCGCGTAGTCTTGTACTTGGGAAAAATGTAAATTTAAATACCAATTTTACAAATACAAGACTTTGTAAGTAATTTTAAAAAAACAAGTTATTTTTCATGCTTTCGTCTAACTAAAAATTATTTCGTTCATTTATTGACGGTGTAGTAATAAGTTTCAGCAAATCGACACCTGGCCTATTAGACGAAAGAGAAAATATGTTATCAATGAATGCATTTATGACGTTTAGGTTTTACTTTTTAACTAACACCATAAATCAACATTAGTAGTTTCGTAGGAATAGTAAAAAAAAAAAAAAAAATACAACACACGAATGTGCGATTCGTAATAAAATTATAGTAAGAAGCCATGAGGTAAAATGTATTTTCAGTTTTTAATATTTTTATTTTATGAAATGATTTTTTTTGGGTTTTTTTAGCGCAACACTAAGTTTCTTTACCTCACCCACCAGTTACTTTTTAAAAACAATGTTGTGCGTAAAAAGGTGATGAGAAGTTAATTAAAAAAAAAATATGTCTGGTTATGAACTTTGTTATCAAAGATTGTTTAGAATGCTCTGGCCTAAAAAAAAAAAAAAAAAAGGTGGATGGATTGGAATGTTTTCATTTTTTAATGACAGGTGAGGAAGATGGGGAACACCTGACTTGTTTTTGTTGAAGAGACGAGTTAGAGTTAGGAGGGGCTGAATTGTTTGTTTGCATGTGCATATCGGTATGAATGTCGTCATCAAAAAGAAAGAGAATGAGAAAAAATTGTACAGAACAAACAAAAAATCGTAATAATGACAATTTGATAGTAGTTCATGGAAATAAATAATTTATGTTTTTTTTTTTAGATTAAAGACCACACAAAACTCAGCCGAAGTAAGAAGCTTCTGTTTACCATCTTGAAAAGGCGGAGGGGGGCACTTCTGGGGTTATCATCAACCTCATCCTTAAAGACTAAGAGAATCTAAAATTGATTTTTTTTATAGACACCCCCTCTTGATAAAATATGTTACTTATCAGATCTTTTCAGATTTTTTTTTCGAATCAATTTGAATATCAACAATGGAATCAATCACAAACAAAATATTTTTTCAAATGATTATTTACATTTTTGCTCAGGCTATAAAAACCAGTTGCACTTTTTTTTTTATTCAATCAATTTTAAAATTAAATGAGAAAGGTATTCTAAAAAGCAGAGTCTGTTTTTAAAATAGTTTTCTTTAGTGATATAAAATTTTAAAGCATAAACGAAACAAAACCCGAGGACTTTCCTCGGGGTTGACAAGAAGTGTTTTAGTTTCTTTCTGTCTATAAACAGCGGGTGTTTATTGGGAATGTTTTTAGAAGCCATATAAAAAATGCATTCAAGGAAAGAGTAAGAATAAGATTAAAAACAACAATTTAAAAAAAAAAAAAAATAACGGAATAAATCATCATCATCATTATTATTATTACTTACCTTGTTGATTATCATCGTTATTATTATTACTACAAATAACATTTCCTTCATCTTCAGAAAGATGAATACAATCAGATGATGAAACAATTCTTTTGGGTGGCTGTTCTGGGCAGGTGGTTTCTCCTGGCTGGGTATCTTCTTTTCTTCCTCCAGCATCTTTATTGGCCACAATAGACGATGATGTCGCCGTGTCTGGTTCATTTTCTATTTCTTCACCAACTGTACAACAGCCTGAAGAATAAGGATTTTTTACTTCGGGAACATTACAACCAACCTGTGCATCTTGTACTGGTACGGGACCATGTTGTTGGGAATCAGCTTTACTTTTGTCTACTCTTTTTTCAACATCAGCAACAATACTAGTCATTTTAACATCTGTATTATTATTATTATTATTAGAAATAGTTGCTATCGTTGGAGAACTAACACTGCTTTCTCTGTTACTACCAACAGTAAGATCATTATTTTTTATTTCTCCATCATTCGAAATATCCTTGCCTTTCATTTGTTGTTGATCTGGTTGTAAACTACACAACAGGGAGGAAGAAATTTCCGATTTGTTGACATTATTCTTATCAGATTCGTCTAATACTTTTTCAGTACAACTATCAAAAGCCCCGTTGTTGACTGTTTTTGAACTGCTAGTAGTATCGTAAGTAGTACTACTAACAGAAATGCTAGAAATATTACCGTCTTCACTGCATGTTGTTGTTATGCTCTGGTCATTCATGGCTGTAGTGGTATTTGTAATAGAAGTAGACATTTCTACTTTATTTTGGATTTTCTTATCATCATCATCATCCTTTCTTGTTATGGTGGTGAGTTGTAAGGTTGTTGTTGTTGTGGAAATACCACAAGTTGTATCTGATTCTCCTAAAGACACGACTGGGGGTTTCTCGTCCTGTAAATCATTATTATTGACCGCAGCTGCCTTTCCAACATTGGAATCACCACCGACTGTTGTTTTTGTATTACATGAAGAAGAAGAAGAAGCAATACTAGATTCCACTTCTTTTTTTATTTCTTCTTTCGGGACGGCGACAGGAGTAGTAGCCGGGGGACAAGAACTGTCCTCCTGAACAGTTTTGCTCGTTGAGTGGTTCTTATTCGCCTCATCAACCTTGTCTATTTGACGGTCCATTTCTTAAATTTTTTTTCACCTTAACACTCTTTTTAATATAACACCAACGAGTCTGTTGCTGTGACTTTTTCCTTCCCTCCCTACACACAACTCGCTGCCGTTCGTGTCAGAACATGACGACAGCCATTATACGATCTCTCTCTATATCTCTCCTCCCCTCTCATGTCTCTCTAATACTCTCTTTTTTTTCCGCTTTCTCTCTCACAGCAAACCACGCGAGATTTTCGGCTGAGATTACAAGACATGGTCGGAGGAGGAGGCAAAAAGCAGCAGTAGCAACAACAATCTCAGTGTTGGAGGAGAGGGCGCAGAGACAAAACATACATGACATCATTGCGCCTCCAGTCGGCTCTAAAATAATAATAACAACAACCATCATCATTATTATTAATAACTACCTCAATAATTGAGGTAGTTAACAGTAGCAACCATATGAATCTGATTGCAGACAAATAATATTAAAATTTTGCTTCTTTAAATTGTTTACGTTTTCTCCCCCCCCCAATAATAATCAGATTTTTAAAAAATACTTTTTCATCATCATCATCATCATCAACAACATCATTATCATCATCATCATAAAGTTTTCTGTTCATAAAGAACACTTTGATCTTTTGAAGCATGTTGAAGTTGACAAAATGATAAAATAAGAAAAAGTAAAAAAGAACATCTCTTACCTGTCTAATGTCTTTCTACAAAATTTTCTATTCATAAATAAGCAAGTAACACTTTGATTTGGAACTTTTGGGAACAATTAAGAAGAGCAGGCTTTATTGGTAATGTTGTCATTGTTGATTTTTTTCTTTTTTCTTTTTCTTCTGATTATTTATTTATTTATTTATATACAATATCAATAATGAAATTAATAAAAAACCCGACAAATTGGAGTTTTAGTTAAACCCAACTCAAACTGATGGTTGCATAGCTTAAGAACATTATAAACAATTTTCATATTAATAGTCATTTAAATTTTAACAGGCTTTACCTTTGCTGTTCATAAAATGAGAAATTGGAAAGCTGAATTTGAATTCTAGTCGAGTTCTTTACAAATGTGCAAATACCATTGGAAAAGGTATGAATCCATACCCCAGCTAAGGGTTAAAATAGTAGGACTTGTATCAGGAAAAACCATTTTATTCTTAAAAAATTGTTAATTCACTTGTAAAAAATAGAATTATTCTTACAATTCAAAATATGTTTGGGCTTTAATTAACCCACAAAGAGTTGATAACTGTCTGATTTCTGAGATGAGGTATTATGTACATTATTTACATTGTCATCCTCATCTTTGTTGCCATATTTATCACAACGTTTGTAAGGCGGTGGAGAACTTGGAGAGGGGAATTACCAGGAGATAACTGATAACTGACATCCACTAGACATAGCATGTGGAACTAGAACAGTCTAACCCAGCGAGCAAAATAAAGGGTTCAGTTCGACATTCCAACCACCTGAAGAAGGCTGAAGCATACAACAGCCGAAACGTTGTGATAACTATGGCAACAAAGATGAGGATGATAGTTCGAACAATGTAAAGGGTTGATAAGTCATGAAAAAAAACAAATCACTCAATCAGTCAACATTATCTTTGTTGTAGTTTTTCACAAATTTTCTGACAAAGTCTATTATTGTTGCTAATTATTGTTATTATTTTTATTACTTTTACATAATCATTTATTTTATTTATTTCACTAACATTTTTTAAAATGTTGGGTCCTTTCAAGATATAAATGATTATGGCTCTCCACAGATTCCTTTTCTTTATTATACAACTTCTGACAAAAATATAATTAACTAACTTAGAGGATGTTCACCTTGTTTATTTAGCTGTAAATAAACTAATAACAGATAAGATGTAAAACATTTTTATTTAATAGTTGGGCATTCTGACATCATAAAATTTAACTTAAGTAAACTAGAGTAAATTATTTAAATTATTAAAGTATAATTTTTTCTAAGTTATATAAAGGAAAACATGGAATATTGAGGAAAAATAATGAAATACCCCAGCATTTTAGAAAATTAGAATTAATACTGAGAGATTTTATGACAGCCTTAATTTTTATGACAACTTTAATTTTTTTTAGGCATGGATTTCACTAAGTTAAAGCAATATTCTTTACCCAAGTGGTTCCAACTTTCATGAATGGTAGTTAACAAATCTTCTTTGGTGGATGGAACATTTTTTTTAATTTTTACCACAAATTTGTAAATTGGTTTTAAGTCCAGACTTCTCACTAGTTATATCTTTGATTTTATATACTTTTACTGAAGAAAAACTTTAACCTCCTTTGCTCTGTTACAAGATGCATTATCATCCTGAAAAATAACTTCATCATCAATTTCCAATCAATAGAATAAGAAAATTATCCAAACTTTCAATGTACACATGTGCTTTAATTGTTTAAGTAATGGTTGCCATTACCCCTGGTCCTTTAAATGAAATGGAACCTCATATCATTAATGACTTGGAAAATGTATTTGTTTTCTTCATGTAGTCATCTATGTTTCATTTGAATGACACTAGACAAAAATTTCATCATTGCCTTGACCAATGCATCTTCTTGATTCATCTCTGAACATCACTTTCATCCAATCGGCCACATGCAATATTTTCTCTTGAGCTTACTAATCATTTTCTCCTATTTGTGTTTAAATGCTGGTTTTTGTTGAGATTTACATACAAAAAAAACAAAAAACAATTTCATTCAGCTCATTTCTTACACTTCTTTCACAAACATTGACTCGGGTTTCAACTAATTTGTTTTTCATTTTTTATGCTAGACATTTTCTATTTTCAAAACATATTGCTTTTATTTTCCTTTCCTGATGCTTTGATGTCTTTCCTGATCTACCAGTATGTTTTCCTTTTTTAGCCATTCCTTTTCTTTTATATTTGCACCAAATTTTAGACAGCTGAATAGGAACAGCCAATGTCTTTCATAGGAAAATATTGAAGTGACACAGCTAAAATGGAACAGCCAATGTCTTTCATAGGAAAATATTGAAGTGACACAGCTAAATTGGAACAGCCAATGTCTTTCATAGGAAAATATTGAAGTGACACAACGAAATTGGAACAGCCAATGTCTTTCATAGGAAAATATTGAAGTGACACAGCTAAAATGGAACAGCCAATGTCTTTCATAGGAAAATATTGAAGTGACACAGCTAAATTGGAACAGCCAATGTCTTTCATAGGAAAATATTGAAGTGACACACCTAAATTGGAACAGCCAATGTCTTTCATCACATTCCACTGTGGATTGCATCTGTGAATGGTTTTACAATCCTTTCTATTGTTTCAATTGACAGTTCTTTTGTTGGTGTCATGTTTCCTTTCAATTAGCTATGCCTAAATGCTTAGGTCTGCAAGAACTCTTTTACCTCTAGACTGATTTGCATATCTATGCATCTGCTGGTATTTGTTTTACAAGATTATTCCATAATTTTTTCCTCAACTTTGAATTATCCTATCATATTTTTCCTTCTATATGGCTTGGGAAAAATTATACTATTAATGTACATAATTTAATCTAATTTACTTAAGTTATTTTTTACGAAGCCAGAATGCTCAACTATTAAATAAAAAATGTTTTGCTTTTTATATTATCAATTTATTCATTGCTAAATAAAATACCAAAGTGAACATCCTCTAAGTGTGTTAATTCCATAATTTCTACCAGGTGATTTATGTGAATTTCCATGCCTTCTTGTCTATGGTTACTTGCAACTTTCTCCATGGAATTTGGAGTTTTCCTCTTCTTAGACAAGTTGCTATCCAAAGCTAGAAAGTCCCATTTACCTTATTATCTATCACTTCTTCCCTCATAGCTGGGGGAAGAAGTGATAGATTTATTCCTTTTCTGAGGGTATTAGTGCAATATGTTACCTGTCATTCAGTAATAAAAATTATTTTTTTAAAAATATAAGCAATTGTATTATCATTTATACAAATCAATAACAGGGATTTAGATGCATATTTTATATTATTCAACTTACCTAACATATTTTTATAAACTTTAATTTTGTTAGTGGTACATTGTGTATTGGTATAGTATGTATTGGGCCAGAGTGTATTACTCACAAAACCCCCAGAGGATTCAAGTCTGATTGGGGGCCCCAGACAGTGATTTGTGATCCTCACTATCTTATCAACAATTTTTTTTTATCTACATTTATATTCATTACAAACACAAGTTAAACACAATTGACTACTAAAGGATAAAAATTTTTTTGGATTTAGACATTATTCTAGGGTCTTTTTTCTTTGTCCAAATTTGTGATTTTGTTTTGCTCATGCTAAATCTTAGAAAAAAACACTATATAAAATTTGATAGTTTTTATCCATAATGTTGAATGTGTTAAAATTATTCAACTTTCAAACAAGAAAAATCTCAAGTTGATGTCAAAAAATGCCACAAAACATTGTTGATTTATTTAAGATGGAATAATCTATTATGACATTCTTTAACTTGTATTTAGATAGTGTAAGTATTTCCAATTTTTCTAGTTGAATTATTCACCTGTACTGCATAGGATCCATTATTGTACATAGTACAGGTTACAATAAAATTTGTATTTTATATGAATACTACCTTATGAAAATTAAATGAAGTAGAGTGGTGATGGTGGGGGTACATCATAGATTTGGTGGGAGGCATCTCCTAGATTACAAGTGAGGCTATAAGACCCTTTACACCAGCCCTGAGTATGTATATGGTATGTAGTATTATATACCAATATGGACTACTATGTGTGTCTGTGTGTGTGCGCATAAAAAGAGAAAACTTAGAGATATGAGATAAATATACACACTTATGAGATTGAGGTATAAAAAGAAAATTAGAGAGAAAATGATCAAATAAAGATTTTATGGGGTGAGAAATAATTATTTACAAAACTTTGTATAGTCTGACACAAAACAAAATCCTTGGAGCACTAAATTATGCTTCCAGCTTGTGGAGAGAGAAAGAGAAAGAGACAAATATTGAGCATGA